CCGACAGGTAAGAGTTCCTATTTCCATGAGTGTTCTTTTCCTCTCATTTCATAACATCTATAAATTTCTAAGTAAAGAAGTGAAATGAAATATGCGCTGAAAATGAATGCTAAATGATACACGCATGCACCGAACTTGTTTGAATTCTTAAAAGTGAAAATGACATGGAGGCCACCCAATGAATCCATCCTAATACCCAACTAGTCAGAATGGTACTCACTCCCTTTTAAGTCTCTCTTTACCGATAGCCTGACATTTCGCGGTTTGGCCGATGGTTGCTGAATGAAGTTGTAGGTTAGCGATGATGAGGTTATTGCACGTGGAGGGTTAAGTCGGTTGATTAATTTAGGTTGTGAGACCTTAATGTGACCTTAGTAAAAGGTACATTGAGCCTACGAGAGAAGGTTAAACTCAGCACTAAGATATTCATTAATATTCATCACAAATTATCTTGATTGTCGCTTGGATATCTGTATCAAGCCATTCTCTCCATGACAAGAATCATCAATACTTTACCTAACTAGTGTGCAGGATTACGATATTTTACAGTCAATGTTCTGACCATATTGTGTTAAAAATTGGATGTTAATACGCTCTTAGTTTCATAATGATAATTTGTGACGAATATTTGCATTTGACGAGTGTCGATGATTTTCTTGAAAATGTTATGTCAAGCTTATTATTCACTTTACACCATTATTAATTATTTTTCATTCAGGGATTGCCAGTGATCGAAAAAGTGAGGCAAAATGACGACAGATACTGGTTTTGGATCAAAAGCTTATCCTATCGCTGACACCAGCTTGTCTCAGAAGTTACTTGATCTTGCTCAACAAGCTCAAAGCTATAAGCAGTTGAAGAAGGGTGCAAATGAGGCTACGAAAACGTTGAATCGAGGGCTTGCAGAGGTTATTTGCAGTTCCGACCTACTTGACAGCCTTGTCTTATTTTAGTTGTTGCAAAACTCACTAATTTGCTCTAGAATTGGTTCTACATGACTTCTGCTTCCATGTTTCTGTCCAAAGTCATCTTCATTATACTTCGCTAAACATATAGGGATGTTTCTTCCCGATTAGTGGATACGTAGTGTGTAAAGTTTCAGGTCATTATAATGGCTGCTGACGCCGAGCCATTGGAAATTATCTTGCATTTGCCATTGCTCTGTGAAGACAAAAACGTGCCTTACGTGTTTGTGCGCAGCAAGGTAATCTTTATATATACTTATTTATTGTGCATAGAATTTTTGTTGTAAGTACGGTTTTCTGGAAATACTGTATATAATTTTTCACGTTTTTGCTGTTTTATTGTATGTTTTAAAACAATTTCAGGCAGCTCTTGGCCGAGCGTGCGGTGTATCGCGTCCTGTAATCGCTGCATCAATAATCCAGAATGAGGGTTCTCAGCTAAGAAGTCAGATACAGAAAATCAAGGAAGAAGTGGAAAAACTTCTTATTTAAAAAAAAAGTATTTTATCTGGATGAAAATGTGTTTTTACATTTCTAGATTTAAAGAAGTAAATTCAAACTTTCTTATTCAGTATAAGGTATGAAATCAGTGTTTGAATTTGTTTATTTAATTCACTTAAAAACTGTGGGAGAAACTATATTTTTATTCGTTTTTTTCGGAGTGAATAAAAGTCTTGATTTTTACAAGATTTTTTTTTGAACTTTACTTCTTTGACTACTGGTTCATTTACGTCGTTTGAATTCATTTTGAACAGGGACAAATTTTATTTTGCTTTTTCTATTTCATTTTATATTCACAAGTTATTGTTGTTACGTTGATTAATACACTTTAATGTTGCTTTTTTTCATCTTCATATTGGTATATACGAGCACGTTTTATTCCGGAATAAGATGGGTATGTACGAGCACGTCTTATTTACCGGAATAAGATAAAGCAGATAATTGCACAAATTGTGGACTAGCACTTCGGCATAAGGTTGATATATTTATCATGTTCCATTCAAATAAAAATCAACACTCCAGCATGTGAGGGGATATGCTACTTATCCTGTATTCACGACAAGGGGTTGTGTGATTTGTCAATTCTTTAATAAAGTTTTGAAGTTTTCACTTTTTCGAAGTTCATAGATCGTGCATGAATAGAGATAGCAACTCTAAAATCCCAGATTTGCATCTGTTTAATGACAAATAGAGTTGCTTAGAAGTCTGATCTTTGTTACAAAATGAATGGAAGAGAAAGGTTTTCATTGGTTATTCTTATATGCATATGTATCATTAACGATTCCTACATCGAGATCCGCTTATCTGGATTGTTGGTTGGCAAGTTGATTGTTCAGATTGAACTCCTAATAGCTTTCGTGTGAAAAGTAGCACTCATTTGGAGATAATTATAATTTCTGATTTTAATGATGCATCCTAATAAATCCACTTTGTATTATCAGAACGAGAAATTTTCCTCCTATTGAGGTAGGTCTCCAATCATCCACTTTGATCATTTTCTCATCCACTTTGATCATTATTTGAAAAATTTAAATATGTTTAGAATTGCGCTCTGCTACAACACATACGATAGTGAGCTGTAGAACAAGATCATTTTTTCCTTTAGAAACACTCCGTAATGTTTAACAGTTTTTAACGGTGATTCAATGTTTTCGAATCCAGTCCGAATCTTACTGATGCAACCGATTTGTTTTAGATAAACGATCTGGATTTTAATACTTTTATCTAAATCTGTTTGGGAAGGCATCAATAGATAGTTAATATTAAGCATGTTACTTAAAGAAGGTTGGTATTGAATAAAGCACTTTGAAAATTTAATACTGTAATATTTGAAAGGAATTTGATCTATATTTTAATTGAAGGAAAAAAAAACTATATTTTAATTACAGCAAATTTTAAGAGAGACATATAACTCAACACTACTGTCTTATCTATGGCTTAGAAATATGGAATCTATAAATAATCAGGTGGTGATTTGAAATTAGAAAAATCACGCTTAAAATGAGATTTCCATTGTACATAATTTTCAAGCGCATGATAAATATTAAGTTCTATAGCTGGATCATGAAATACTTATCCATCTGCAAACATACCTCAACCATACCTGCAGGTACAATAAATCATCTACAATTCAATTCAATTCAGTCCAGGTTTGTTACAGTTAATTAGATCAATTCATCATTATAATCAAATTTTCAATTTAATTGCAAAAAGATCACAGTTTTTTGATTTTTGTCAACAAAAAAATCAAAGATAAAAAAGCAATATGATTGTACATGCAGAAGAGAGCAATGTTAAAAACCGGCCAGATAGGTGATAAGAAAAAAGCTTTTAACTTAGTTGAAGTAATTTCAATACACTTTTTTTAAGTTCATCATCCCTTTTCTTCTCGATGAATTGCTATCATGCTTTCTGAACAACTTCATTTAGGTAATTCATAATATATATGGAAAAGTTCCTGAATATTCCTTTCTTGCTTTGTTTTCTAGCAATAAGAATGGATGAAACGAACAACTGAAATGAATTTTGAATTCTTCGAGTAAAGTTTAAAATGATTTATTCATTAGTCTTCCTATTAATATGGAATCAATAGTTCATTTGATTTATTTATAGAATGATATAGCAAAAGGCTTTGTCAGTAAACTGGCGACTATCAGAAAGATGAACCGATCGAGTGGATAGGATGGTTGACAGATAGGCGCACATAGACTATTATGGTTATTGTTTGTACAGCGGTATGGATGTTATGAGGACGAAGCACATGCTTCTCTGTACCCGTTTTTGTATATATATTACATATACGGTAGGCAGTTTGTTACTACTTACTGCTGTTCTACACCTATCTGAATTGATTCTAAAAGTAAGAATATGATTTCCTATCAAGTAAATTTGCCATTTCGAATGGCGTCTCGAAATTTCCTATTGAAGAAGCTATTCGTATTTACTGTATTTTCTTCAGATCTCATAAATGAATGCTGACGAGCGTACGATGACTTCGAGAACTGACCAAACTGTAATGGTGGGGATGACAGGAAGTCATGTAGGAGGAATTTTAGAAGTTGAACTTAACTCACCGCATGGCAGCGGTTTTATAAAATGGTTTTATAAATGAAAAAAAAGTTTAATCTCGACTTCCTAAATTGTTATTTAGGAAATCGATTTTCTATATTGTTATTTATTTAGGAAATCTAAATTGTTATTTAGGAAAAAATAAATTAAAAGGATCTATAAATCAAAAATGAGTAATACAGAAGAAACACGTCAGTCAGCGTTTCAGTATGGACGAAAGCTGCCATCGATCATCAGTGCCGCCCGATTATTGAGACTTCGGTCGGGATCGTTCGATGAAGGTATTTTTGCGTCAAATCACATTTAATTTCTTAAAATTCGCCAATGTTTTAGTAAATCGTTTAACATTTGTGTAAATCATCCTAGCTTATTTTTTTCTTGAAAATATAAGAAAATTTTAAATCATCCCAGCTTATATTTTTTTTTCATGAAATATAAGAAAAAAAAATTTACGGTCGAATTTAATTGCCAATTTTTTTACAAATTAAAATTGGCATGCCACTATTAAGTGAAATGTTTGAAGCTTAACATCTCAAATTTTACATCATTCTTCATCAAAGCAAATCCAATATTATTCATTAATTATGAATCACTAAATTAATATTGTTTTAATTTATTTATTTTCTTATACTGAGCATAACTTTCCTTACAATTTTATACTAAGCCTCATAGAAAACGCCAGATTTATTTTATAAAATTATCATTCATCTTCATCATATAACTATATAACAGAGGCAAAAGACGAGAAGAAACCAAATCGCATAAGTCCATTCTCACCTGAAGCTCGTGTTCCATTACCAAGTGAGATCGACGAAAAGTAAGCTATTATTTATTCGAGAAATGGATAGTATTTTCACAAGCGACAAGGAAATAAATCACCAAAAATTAATAATTTTTTAAATCTTATCAATTCAGTTTGGAAATTTTAGCAGTTATGGAACTACTGTATGGAAGCGAAATGAGAGAGAACGTCTACGTGTTCGTTGTGTAAATGACGGATATGAAAGGCTGCGTGATCATTTACCGCTTACTGAAAGGTTTTAAATTATTTCCCTTTCAATTAATCCTTATAAAAATTAAGCATTATCTGTTTGTCATAGATTAATCTGTGACAAATTCGATTATAAAGATAATAATTTAACATCAAAGAATTTTTTCAAATTTTTGACAACCTCTCATAGCATTTCGAAAATGAGAAACTGCGTTTTCAGCGACCGCCGTATTAGTAAAGTGGATACCTTACGCTTAGCGATCCGGTATATACGTCATCTGGAAGCTCTGTTGCAGAACTACGATCACTGGATCAAATGTGATTGTTTCCAGACTTTTCAAACCGAATCCGAGGAACGTGCCGAACGTCTTCGCAGAATTGATCGCAGGAAGCGTGCCGTAAAGTGATAGGAACGATAAATAATCAATTCCTCCGTTAATTGTTCTATGATTTCAATTTTTCCATGGTTTTATCTACTAATAAAGCTTCCCACTCTTCTGACTATGAGAAAATTTCATTTCCGTAACATCTGATAAAGCTCCAATACATGTTATCAAAGAAGGAAGAAAAATCATTAGAATGAAATTAATGATAAATGAAGTGCTCTGCTAGTTCTCCCTCTATTGTACACAATGAGAAATGACATACACCAAATGAAACTTGACTGATGCGACCGCGGTGGCTCTTCATATTTCCGAGAACTCAGACTCAGTACACTTCTTCCACATTTATTTCATTTCACAAATCTTCATCTGGTAATCGAAATTCAACCCCAAAACATCTGCTGAAATGAACAAAACAAAACAGTGCTATATTAATCATTGATAGCACTTCCGAGTTCACTTTGCCACCCAATGGGACAATAACGCCATCCGATGAGACAACAACGCCTTGGCACACAGAATTTGCAAAACGTCATATATTTTCAATTGCAGTTTGAATTCGTTTTGGTTTGTTGATTTTTTTCGGCGATTTAAAATCGTTGTTTTTGTTTGGACATTTTGTTGGTAGGAAGGAGTGATTTTGATATGTATTCCGTTTTCCGCATGATTTCTTTGCGGCATCACTCTATAAAGAATAGCGTCTCGCAAGTGCTTTATATTTGCTGGGCTTATTCAAATATTCATGAATTGTGCATTACAGGTAGATTGTCTTGTTGGTTGCTGAATATGTCAAAAGGAGGAGGGCAGAAATTATCAAAAGAGGATGAGTTGCTGCTAAAGGTATGCTTTATATCTGGTCACTGTTATGAGATTAGAGGTATATCTGCTGTTAGGTCTTCAGAGAATTTTTTTTATCTGGGTAAAATTTTACATTCATCTCTTATTATCTCTCATTATCATTATGGCATGACTAAGTTCTGCTTACTAAAAATGGAAGATGTCACATATTATTGGTTTGTTTCTTTGTACAGATTACTTCAACAAATTAGCATTTAAGTTTAATTTAAATATTTGCATTTATTGGCATAATCTGTACAAATTCTGTATGATGAAAACCGTTTTGCTGAATGACCTACCATTGAACTCATATATTTCATCATTCCTACATGAATTAAAGTGAATATTTTTTTAAATCTCTAATTATCTAAAGGACTTCTCAGCAGCAGTATCAACAAAGGGCAGTGCATTATTTTATGGAAATTCAACAGTGATTGCTATAGCACCTCTATATCTTTTTTATGGAATACATCAGATGGAAATAGCCGATTCATGGATTGTTTGGTTGATTTCATCGCTAACTGCATCTTACCTTATTAGTTTTGCCTACAAGAATATCAAACACATCCTTAAGCATAAGTAACCTTTTTGATATTTTGTTATTAATTTCTTCACTGCATGTTTAATAACAGTTTATTCATTTCAACAATATTTTTCTTTAAACGTTTCACTTCGTTCTCATTTTTTCCACTCCTTATTTGTAGAATTGTTGTAAAACGAAGTGAGGCAATAACTCGTGAAATGAATCGAAAATTAGCAGATGATAAAAAAATGTCAAAGAAAGAGAAAGACGAAAGAATTTTGTGGAAAAAAAATGAAGTAAGTGTTTATATACTTAAAATTTTCTTTAATCTCGTCTAGTCTGTTTTAAAGATGTATTTGATGAAATTAAATGTAGTTATGTTCTAATATCAAAGTCTGTCAAGCCATACTAAGTTGTTAGAAAATTTTAGGTTGGAGATTACGAAGCGACCACTTTCTCGATCTTCTGGAACAATATTCTTTTCCTTTCGCTTCTTCTTGTCTTATCATTCTTTTTATTTGCCTCCATATCATCTACTTTCAATTGTCTGTTTTCTATGGTTGGTGCAGCTGGTTTGGTTGCTCTTTTCTCAACTGCTAAATAATACCAATTCCCATGATCATAGCTGTTCCTAAATGAAATATTGAGATTTGGAAATTGGACTAGGGATGTTCAATTTTTACTTTGAGTAGATAAGCTAGTCTTTACTTTGTGATCTGAAAGAACTGTTTTCTTGTATGTGATTTACCCTATTATAGCTGTCGGTGTGATTGTCAGCGATGTTTGTTCTCACTCTATTTATTCGATAAAAATATTTCTATTTTCACTGAAATGTATAGTAAAGTAGCTGTAAGATCAACGTTTTTTATGTGCTTTTGGAAATCCATATTGGTACTACGGTCACGCTCTAAAATGTGAAAAGGCATTTTTTAAGCATTTTTTTTAACAGTATTACGAAAACTAAATGATAATGAGTTAGAGTGGTCAATTCATTAGTTTGATACGAATACAATAGTCAGTGTGCATCATGGATGGTCGAGCGTCGCCTCGATTAGAGGAGCCCGTAAACAAGATCGATAAGAGAAACGCTGTACCGAAAATGATGCAAAATGGTGATGTAAAGGGTGATGGAAGATTTAAGGTAACTGTAACTTCATTTGTAACAGCAGTAGCTAAGGAAGTGAGTTAGTGATTATTGTGCCTCATCAGTCATAGAGTTCTGATTGGTGCGCACTATTTCTTAAAGCAGATTTTAAAGGTTTTGGCAAATGTAATCAGTACTCTTACATCAGCAATAAGCATATGCTGCAGTAAAGATATTCTATGGGTTCGTTAATTCTTGTAAGTTTATTGTAATGCAATTCTTAATCTCGGTAATTCAACAATGTAACTAAGAAGTAAGGTCAGGAAGTATGAGTTTATGAGTTTTATTTTTTGAAAGTTAAATAGACTTAAAAAAACAACGGTTATAGATTCATCGTATTCCTTTGTGTCGAACAGCTCGTTGCTTTGTATCCCATGTTACATCACCAAGTTGCATATGGGTGAAGCCTGTGAATCATATTACGGAAAAATTACAGATTCGAGACCTGTGAGTTTATTTCTTCATAATGCATTGAAGTTTATTCCTGAGTTCATTTCTTCATAATGCGATGTTTATTCTTAAGTTTATGCCTACACAATGTGATGAATTTTATTCCTAAGTTTCTTTCATAATCTTCATAAATTTATATCGTCGCTATACTTTGACCCGAATGGGAAAAGAAGCACACCAATTTTAGGTACATCATTATTATATTTTTCAGAAATACATTGACTCCAGCTCCAGTGGCACACGAAAACCGCTATGTAATGGCACCGCTTGAGGAAGGTGTTTATGCTCGGGCTCGAATTCGTGAAATTGATCAGGTTGATGAATGTTTATTTTAAAATTTTTGAATTCTTTACTGGTCAAAGATATTTGTATAAGTGTATTCCACAATTATAGCAAATAAAATTTGTGAAAGTATTGTTCATTGACGAAGGGACCACTGCTTGGATGAGTTCTGCATGCCTTGCAAAAATGGACGAAATGTTATCTTTCCATCCTTGGCAAGTAATTCCAGTCGCATTATTTAAGGTATCCTTTTTAAAAAAACAAAAGGAATCTTTATTTTTTACACATATCCTGAATTCAGTACTACGGGAAGGATGTTAGAACAATGTGTTTATAACCATAATGTATAAGTTTGGTCGGTAATTGTAAAATTTCAAGTTTCCTTTCAGTTTCGGAATTTGCAGGTGAAGCCATATCAGGACATTGTCGTTGATAATGTGCAACCGAAATGGTCGAAGGAGGATACAGTAGTCTTGCGAGAAATTCTTAGGAAATTCGAATTTGTTCGTGTAGAAGCAATCCTTAATAGCGTTCCCAGTAACGACTATCGCGATTTTGTAAAAGTTAGTCATTCTCTGGAAGATTGTAATTTTTGATTCATCGGCTAACTTTTAACTGCTGGGATTAAAGGTTAATATGTATGGGATGGAGGCAGAATCGGACGAAATGGGTACTTCAATCACTCATTTGTTTGTCCGTGAACGTTTTGGTGAAGTTGATTTTGAACGAGATTTATTTGACGGGATCACACAAAAGATATTTGAAAGTTCTGTAAGTCCATTATTTCTACAAGATTAAGTTCTGCACGGGTCACGACTAAATATATTATGGAATTTTTTCTTGATAGTATCACGTAACTGTAATATATGTAGAATCTATATGGAAAAAATGTATTATTTCTTTTTTTATTTTCAAGGATCTCCGTAATTTTTTGTTTTTTTAATCATTTTAATCATTTTAATAGCATCTCTCTGCACATTTAATTCGTTTATTTAAAGGCGGATAAAGAAGTTCTGATTGTGGAGAATTTGGAAACTTGGCGACTTAATTTTCCAAGCAAAAGCGAGACTGGAACCTTAGCAGAACAGTCCATCGTGAATGAGGCAACCATAGAGAGAATACAGGTAACCTTATTTTGTTTTGTTCAGTTTATTTTTTCTTGCCTGTTGTTCCTAAATAATTACTACTCTTTATTAATTTTAGATTCCGGTAGCAGACATTAATTGGTTGAATGAGGAAGGATATCATCACAAGGGAGAATATTTGGTCAATATCGAGGGAAGGTATCTGATTTGTCGGCATTCAACTTCTTGATAATTTTTTTATTGATAATTTTATTTAAAACTTACCGGATAATATTTTTATCAGTGATACTTTGTTTTGCATGTCTTTGCTGCTGACGTCTTAACATATTTTGAAAATTTTTTCAAATACCTTACTGAGCTACTGCTAGATGGAATGAAGCTTTATTTTGGCTTTATAGTGTTTTTTCAATGATATTAATATACTAATATTTTATCTGATTTTTCAAGGAATACTATTTCACCCTACGAATTTTACGCTCGTCCACTGAAAATGAGAAGATTAAGGGAAGCATCACAAGGTGATACAGGTGGAGAAGGATATGACGGTAACAGTGCAACGGATGAAGAAGATGCAATGATTTCAGCAAATGATGAACTTGCTACTTTTGCTGAGGAGTTAAATTCATTCTATGGTCATCCCAAAAACAGAAAGCTTATCAATTCATCTCAAGTGTTCGTTTACTCTTTTAACAAAACTTTTATTTTGTATTTTTAAGATAGTTTAGGTTTTCGTCATTTGGCCGATGTTGGCGTTGTGATGCTAAAAAAATTCCAATATTCCAGAATATTTATAGTTTAACCTTATTTTCTTGTAATTATAATTTCTGTTAGAAATTATTGTTTTCTTTTTTTAATAGAGTTGCTGACTTGGAGAAGGGACAACGTATATATGGCATTGCGGAAGTAAACGATGAATTTGCTCAATTTACTGGTTGTTGGCAAAGAGTTGAGATATTGGGTATTAAGGTTGGTTATATTAGAAAGAAGTAAATCAAGTAAGCTTCGAGAAAAATTAGTTGACTGCAATATGTTTGGGATTTTTTGTTCTCTGCAGAGTGACAACTTTTTATAAATTGCATTAGTGTTTGATTTTTCAGGATGGTTATTATTCTGGAAGTTTTTTTTGCCGCATACGATTTCTTGATTCTGGTGGAACTGATGTCCGTTTGTTGTCCAGTATCCTTGAAATAAATCCAATGTATACATTTTTCTTGCTAGTGAATTCGTAATTCTTGTTGTCTTGTTACATCATAATTCTGAATCATTGTTGAAGTTTCGTGATTAATTCTAATTCGTTTAGTATTAGCAGCAATCTTAAAACTTTTTCATTTTGCATAGTTTTCCACTTTTTTGAATATTTCAATTTTTAATTTTTATATTCATTAGACACTGTGTTCGGCCACCTTTCTGCTTGCAAATGTGTATGCATGGGCTGAAACCTATTCATTCGAATTGGTCAGAAAAGGCAAAGCAGTTTTTCTTTAGGGAACTCCGTGAAGATGTTCCTATTGCTCTGAATATTGTGGGTTGTAACAAGTTGGTTTTCAACACCTTTAACCGTAGTTTGGAACTGTTAATCTTTTTATTTGCTTATTGTAAATCATTCATGATTTATTATAATATTTGCTGCATTCCCGATTGACCAAAAAACATACAATATTAAAAATATTCTTTATCCGATGGTTTTTAATGTTTGAATTTCAGAAATGGGAGCAACCATTTATATGATTGTGAGCCATTTCAAAGACCAGGCGTACTGTTTGTGAATTTCATTCAGGTAAATTAGTGTATCTTTAGGCAGAATTCTGTACATAAAACTATTTGATTTGTCGACATTTCAGGTGCGCGACGGTTCTGTTACAACGTTGGATGATAGACTTCAAAAGGAAGGACACGCAATAATTGCCTATCACAGTCCGGTAAAGCTAATAGAATGATGTCAGCATCTGAGAATCACATGCAGTTTTCACTTATTTTTGCAAATACCTCGAGTTTTCTACAGCAGTTTCTTTGTTTCATCCTTAATAAACGACATGACAAACTTTTCAGAAAGTCAGACCTTTTTTTGATTTCAGTATTCGTCGACAAGACTAAATAATCCGAGTGTATCAAATAAAAAAAACTGGAGTTTTAATTCAAAATAAAATTTTTGATACAGTTAGTTGTAAATAGGACAATAATGATTCCAGCTTTATTCAAGATTGCTTGATTTTTTATTGATTATTCTTTTGATCGATGGATGTGTTTATAATTTTCATCATCTTTTTATTATGAAAAAACTTTTTTTAATTGTGAATATTGAGCTGGAAAGTAAAAAGTTAAAAAAAGTTTCTTATATAAATGGTGAAATTATATGCAGTTCAGTCTGGAATAGTCCAGTCATCAAGTTTAATATCTAGGAGTTGAAACCTTTTATGCTTCTTTAAAAATTTCAGTTCAAGTTCATTGTGGCTATAACGGGTGTTATAAATCGAGCTTTTGTCATATTTTTTTTAGTTTAAAAAACCTGTCATAGTTATTTCATCTTTTGTTGAGTTTTATTTATTATTGATAAAAATATTTTGTTTGATTGTAAGCAAGTTTTCATGATACTGGGAAGCTTGGTTCTTTAAAAGTAAAAAAACGAAAGACAGGAGTGTGTTTCAGTAATGAAGCTTTAAAGAAAAACAAGATTAAAATTTAATTTTCAGCAACAAACTTCCCTCATTATTAATTAGCCAATTCTGTCATTTTTTTCCATTGCAGAATAATTTTGAACAATTACTGATACACTAATCCCTGATTGGAATCCTTGTTTTTATGATTAAAATCTTGTATTTTGAAAAGTCTGTTGCTGAAAATCTTACTATATTTTAATCTTGTTTTTCTTTAAAGCTGGTTATATATTGTATTAATCTTGTTGCTAATTGCAGCATTGCAGATAGCATTATTAGGGGAAACCGTCTACCGTAGTGTCTTCTACCATTAATAGCACCTTTCAACGTTAGAGAGCTTCTAGTATAATGAGTATTTTATGTTTACTGGGCAAGACTATCACTGGCCATTTTTTTTCAGTTTTTTTGGTAGTTTTAAATTTTTAGATTTTTTTCATCAACTTTTATTTTAAATAATCATAGTAAAAGCTGTCCATTTGCGTTTTTCCTTTCTGGTGGGATGATAAAGATATACTAGAAAGATTATTACATCGATTTGTAATTAGGGTCACTTGGTTGAAGTAGCAAGATGGTGAAGAACGAATGTCCGTTTTTTTTGTAAAGGTTTAGAATAGTTTAAACATAGTGATCTACAATGGCCATTTGGCACAGAATTGTCATTAAGAACTGTTACGATATTCTGTATTCAGGATGTCATTTTCAGGTGTTTTTAGAATTCGTGAAGTCCATGCATTTTTATTCACTTATTTTAATTATATGCTTTTATGTACCAATCACTGTACCAGGTACGAAGCTGAAAGCTTTGTGGAATCTGGATAGAATGAGCATTTGTAGATTCGGTTATCCGGCTACTGTTTATAACAATTACGGATGCTGGTGTGGTGCTGGAGGTTCCGGGAAACCAATGGATGGAATTGACAGGTTACACTTTGCTCCACCATTTATATTTAGGGCATTGCAAATTAGAAAGTTTTTTGCTTCGAAATTTCTCGTTCTATTAATCGCAAATATGCCATAACTTTTTATACTTTTACACTGTTTTTTATACTTTTATGAATGGACTTTCACTGGCCCACTTTGGAATACACATACGAATAAATGGGAATATATGTGTATGTTCACAGTTTTTCTTTCATTTCTTCAATTTTTGGGATAACTTGTTTAGAAGTTGTTCAATGCACTGTCGTACACAGTTTCGTTTTCTTCACTTTTTAATCTTTAAAAATTGAAACTAATCATTTTATGTGCTGCATGAAACATGACCTCTGTTATGACAAGGCAGTTCGTGAAGATGATTGCTATGATACGGCTGAGGAATATCTGCTTCCGTATAACTGGAAATGTATTCAAGGACAACCCGCTTGCTTGAGTAATGGTAATTTTAGTTGTTGCCAAATTGGATAAGCTGTCTCTAGTTCTGAAATAAAAAAAGATATTTTAAAAGGAAAAAAAAGCTTATTAATGATACCGTTTCTTTTAATCCATCACTCAATTACTTTTCAAATGTCCATCATTTAAAGGTTTCATCTTTTTTTACATGAATATGATTTTAGAGTTAGTCAAATTATCTTTTCACTTGTCAAAACATTGGAATTTCAACTTCCTTGCGTATTATACATTGAAGAACATTGCAGAAAATTCAAAATGTGCTAATGCCATATGCGCTTGTGATAGCGAGGTGATTAAGTGTTGGAGTCGTTTTGAAAAACCAAAAATTCATACAAAATGTACCAAAATATACAGCACCAGATATCATCACAGTCATCCATCATTTCGTTTCTCCTCCTTATTTAATTGGCAAATATTTAATATTTTGAAAGCGATTGTGATCTAACATTCAAAATCCTAACTTTATATATATTTTTCTTGAGGAAGTTAAAGATTGAAAGTCACGAATATTAGAGAATTTGAATTAATCTTTTGCTTGTTTTTCAATTTTTAATTTTCCACTTCAAAACATGAATAAATTCGAATATGTATTGTCCAGCGTTGTTGAATATATTCATTTCTATAGTAAAATGCTTTGTCGTAGAATAGAGTTCCGTGCTCAGATGTTTTTTTCTTGACTAACAAAATGCCAGATCTCTTATGAATAAATTTTAATTTCCATTTATGAATAGATGCGAATTATATTACATCATAATTCAACTGCATGAAATTGAATATAATATGACTGAACAACTGAAAATTGAAAACCAAACGCTGCAATTTACGTTAACCACTAAGTCTTAAGAAATGAATAATTCATACTTTAAAATATAAAATCTTTTTAAAATAGCATCATTTGTCACTAGCCGCTTCCACAATAAAGACCAATCATTGTTTATTTATAGTAGCAACTGAGCAACTAAGCTTTTTTTTTTGGTTAGGCTCATCAGGCTCAAAGAATGTTTCCGTAGCGGAGCTGGCCAGAATTTCATACTTTTAAAATAATGACTCAATGAACTTTCCAAAGACTACCACCGCGGTAGCTCTTTGTGAAGCATTCTTATATTATTTGTCTGCAATTACTGATTGCTATTTCCAATTTTTGCAAATAGATACTTCGTTATTTTTTTCTTCTGCCATACTATTCTTCTTCATACCCAACATTATCATCTCAAAGCAATAAAATTCTACTCTTTTGTATTTTTTTGACGGTAAGATGATTCAATTTTTGAAGAAAATTATTTTTTGGAAGGAACATAAATAAGAGAAAGTAATAGTATCTTAATTGATAAATTTGAAATTTCACCTTTTCGTTTGCATCTATTCTTGCAAAACTTTATTTTTCTGACACTCAAAAAATACTCCTGTAGAAGCATTTTTCATTCCTCTCTTATTTATGCATCCAATTTTTAATGAAATAATTAATACATTTGAGTAAAAGAGGACAAAATTTAATATTTTGCACATTTTTAGAAATGAAAAGGATAAAAAGTGGAACTGTGATAATTACAGTTTCGTGCAGATAATTCAAACAATGAAAAATGAATCGAAGAAATTTTTAGAAATCAGAAATTTGGCTAATTCGAATTTAATCTTTGGCTAAAATATGGCTACATATTGACTGCAAATCTAAAGCCAAAGGGATTCATGGAACCAAAGCATTCGAGCAACATCATAAATTGTTTTAATCATTTGCTTTCATGTGGAAATTTCTCACTCTTTGAAACTAATGAATTTAAATGATGTGTTATAGCTCACTATTGATTTAACTTCGTCCTAACCTTGGTAAAAACAATTAAGGTGTAGAAAAATGTGAAGCGATATTTTATGCACAGCAATTCAGCATTCGTAACACTTTATAAAATCTGAAAAAGTTATGAAATGTAAGAATTCTATAGAATTGATAAAGATAGAAGATCCTGAATTTTATGAAAAACTATCAAGATGTTTTTAGAACAAGAATTGTCCCTTACTCTCCACCAAATAAATCACCGCATTTTTTAAAGCACGAATGTTTTTAGCGACAAATCATAAAAATGTCAATCCAAACTTTGTTTATGCATTATCTTTTAAAGTTTGATATCTAAAAAGTAATGCAAAAAGAAGCAGGGATATATAGTCATGAATGTAATCATAATTTTTTATAAGGCTTAAAATTATTTTTGAAATTTCTGGTCCATTTGTATCATTTTTTCTTTCTAGCTTATGCTTGCAAAACTAATCTACTTCCTTAACTCTTTTTTTCGAATTAACAAAATTATTTCTATGCACTTACGGCAAAAATTTTTGCTTCTTTCATTGGCTTGAAATATTTGAAACAAGAATATATAGAAGTAAAGTAGCTATACTTTTTAGCAAACATAAAATGCAGTTGAGAATTCAAGAATTTCCAATTGCTTACATCACAAAACTTCACTAAGCTAGTGAATATCCATAAGAGAACTCTGAAAGTAAATCTCAGTCATTGAGGTCACTGAAAGGTTAATATTTCAGACACGTTAATATGTACGTTTATTTATCGCAGGCAGACTGTTTGAAATGCAGACGCACTTGAATGAACGCTAGTGCGCATTGCTTTATATATTCAATTTTGGAAAATTTTTAAAAGAAACACTTCTTTAGGTGGCAAATCAAAATGATAACCATATGGAACTTTAGCAAAATGCAAACTAATCCAAGACTGAAACTTTTGCTTTCAGAAACTACCAATTCATTAAACAAAATTCGATAATACTGGAAAGGTAATAACAAATACCAACGGGTTGATTTCTGATTATTTGAAGTACTTAATTTCAATAAAACTATTCTTTGAAAATACTAATTTTTTCTGAAACGATACGCACCATTCAAAACAGTAACATCTGAATGTTTTAAGCTTGAAAAATTTAAGCTAATTTTCTGAATTAAATTGAAGAGTTTGAGAAATGCAAAGTAATGCAAACTTCAACGTTTGAAGAAGATATAATTTAAATTATGCATATATATGCATGCATATAACCTTTTTACACCAACCTCCATGCTATGGCCTTAGAAGCTATCAAGCCATTGCTATCAACTTCACTTCATCTATATCTACATTATTATTACTTCTATGTTGCATTTAATTAGTCGATATTTCAACTATCATCATCACTTATTTAAAAATTTTAAAATAATAGATTAAAAATTTGTTCGGATGAAAATGATTCCTTTAGCAAATATTTTTCTCAGTCCTCTCAAATAAAATTTTCATAATTTTTGTATTGAAATGATGTTTTGTAAAACAGATAAGTAGATGAAGGAAATTGATTTAATGACTTTTCAAGCTATATTTTAAAACTTGAACAGAAAAAACCTTCAAAACAGAATGCACCAATGATCTCATAGGCAAAGCTAAAGCAGATGACGTACTATAATAGTATTTGTTTCTTTTTTCATTGTATTTTTCAATTTCTCTAATCGAATATATTTTTTTTTTCAATTTTAAAATATATCTGCCAAATAATGAGAATAATAAAATCTTTGCCCATATGATTCGAAAGGCAGCGCAAATGGTATGTTTATATGGAATTGTGAGCATACGTGATTTCACTAATTGCGCAAATTCAATTCGATTTTTATGAAATCCTCAAATAAATTTATGCATGCTTATTATCACGGAATTTAACTCACAATTAACAAAATGTTGTCATTACTAATGCATTCTTACTATTTTTAATAAATTTAGAATTATTAGAATATGATCAGTATAAGGATTCAATTTTAAAAGCTTATAATATTTCCTGCGTTTTACTAATTAATAAGTTAATGATAGCATATTAAATTATGCAACAGTATATTTCAAAATTTTGAAATTTTAAAGTTAAAGCTAAGAAATTCCAATTTACAAATTTATTGATTGTTCGATATTTTTTCACTTTCCGGTTGACAGCAATTGATGGCTGCGGTTTTCAGTTACTAACTTTCTTATGTCATACTTTTGCAAAAACATCAAATGATGATACCAATGTTCGCTTATATTTACACAACGTTTAGGGTTACAAGCGTATAAACAACAATTTCTCTGAAATGCTAAAAAGCACTTTGTTCGGTATCAAATTTCTACGTATGATATATAATTTAGTATTATTCTACCTATTGTTGCATTACTCTATTATAAAGTGATATATTCTGTGATCATTCAAGAAAATAAAATTTAAAAAAATCCTAGAATTTGATAATGTTATTGGGAAAGCAACGCTTCAATAAAGAGTCAAAGAAGTGTTTATTTATGTTGTATTTGCTGAGTAAATAAATCAGTGAATTATTTCTTTCTTGCTAAAGGAATAATTCATCTTGTAAAATCTCATTACTTGTCCTATAAACATTTTATCATTTCATTAATTATTTAAATCCAATCATTTACTCATTTCATGCGTACGATTAATTGACGAACATGCGACATTTCGAAATATATCAATTTCACAGATTAATAGATAATTCCTTCCTCTGATACAATTTTCAATTTCTATTTGTTGACTTCTAACTATTTTATCTTTTCTTAAATTACAATTGAATCCACAAAAATATAATCAACAAATTTTTTGTGAAAATGCAGATAAGTAGAAATAAAATATTGATTGAAAAGTTTTCCTACTTCGTACTCACAAACAAAGAAAGATTCTAAATTAGTTAATTTTTGATGATTTGATGAAACACAAAAACTTTGCTTAATTTGGTGCTTAAAAAAAGGAACGAAAATGTCATCTTTAATTTTCTTTAATTATTTTGACTTTCAAATTTCTTCTAAAGGTAATCGAACTTCATCTCATTCTGCTGCTAGTTGTTTGTCATTCCCCGCTAAGTTCATTATTTGCCATTGATGACTTAAAAGCAATTTTAATTTTGGCGTGATTTCTTAATTTTCACTTAGAGTATTTAAAAAGCCTTTATTTAAGAATCCGTACCATCTCAGTTGAACACATTTTGCTTTTAAAACCTTTTTTTTTTAATTTCGAAGTACTTGCAATCTTTGTTGCTTTATTCTGTTGGAATTTTAGCATAAGCATAAATTAATTGTCGAGCATTTCACAGAGAGCTTTTTTTCCCTTCCTATTATGCAATACATTGTTCTGATGCAGTCAGATTATCAAATTTACAAATTCTTTTGTTAATTAGTTTATTGATCAAAATCTCAAAAATTTGATCGAATTGTTTTTTTATCAAACGTTCAATATTTTTATACTTTATAAATAGAAAATAATAATTTCTGCACCAATAATAAGAAAGCTGATCGCAATCGATTTTCCGTTGCATATGAATTAGTTCCATTGATTGCTTCATTTCCTTTTGCTACAAAAATTTTCGATTAAAAAAAGTTTTTTTAGATAATATATAATTCATTATCCAATATTTCATTTCACATAAAAATTTGAAAATATCTGATAGTTACGTCGCACAAAATTCAGTTTAATCATTATTTTGTATACATTTCTTCCACATTTCAATATTTCTATGTCTATGCAATTTTGCACATTTTTGTAGTGAAACTGAATTAACCGTAAAATTGATGGATAATATTCACAAATTTCAATGTCTTTTATTACATTTTCGTACTTCAACAACTGCTCCACCCATTCAATCAAATATATTTGAATATTTAAAATATATGGAACGGCAAAATGTTTTTTTTTATTTGAAAAATGAAAAAAACGATAAAAAGCGTTCTAATTTCCGAAAAGAAGTCATAAGAGAAATTTGCAGCAATATTTACTTATTGCTTCTCCTTTTAGGATATTATTTGTGAAAGCTCAGTGGAAGAAAATCGTTCGTTTGTTTACTAATCCAGGGATCAAGCATAATACAATTGAAGTAGCAACCAAAATTACTCTCTACAAATCAATGCTGGCAGGAAGGATTTGCTTCGCGAAATGAGTTTTTTTTCCTCAATCTTTTTCCTTTTCAGTTAGTTCGTTTGTCTTCTCAATATAACTGATGTTTTGAGATTATCTTTCGAAATTTTCAATAGCTAACTTTTTGACATCTTAATTTCAAAATTAAAAAGTAGTTTATGAGCAGAAAGAAAGAAAAAGAGATGCAATTTAGATGAGAAATATAAAATATTTTTACGAATTTATTAAAATTAGATTTGATGCCTAATTACAGTTATCAGCTGTATTACAACTTATGGATGGAACTTCTCGAACTTCCAGATTAATCCAACAGTGAATTATATTTAAAGATATTTGCTATCTTTAAAAAGTAATTCTCGAGTACAAGACTAGTTAGGCTAAAGTGAACCAAAAAATCACGAAAATGTATGATTCCATCAACGTCATCCTCAAAAAGAAACAGTAAAATGTGAAAAGATCTTCAAGAAATGAATAGACCCGTTGTCATCTATTTACCTTTCAAAATATCTGAGTAAAACCAAAGTCATGTAATCTTCATTTTTCTTCTCCCGTTTAGATATTTGAAAAAGAAACGAAATGAGTTGAAATGAAAATATTTCACCGGCGATCATCTATCACAATTATTTCAAGTGCAAAAACAAAAATAACAGCAAACCAATCATCAACAAGTGATCATCAATTTAACACTGTTCCACACATTTGTTACAAAACATATTATTATGCGCCTTTAGTGGATGACAATGTTGTTGTGTATTCAATTAAGTTCGAAGTATGCTGTCGACAGCAATATCAGTGCATTAATATCTATGGATCATCTAGCAAGATGTCTTCACTTTCATCCTTCATTTTCAAAATTTGTTCCGGAGAATGATGTTTGTTAAAGTAATTTGAGCAAATTCATTGTCGCATAATTCTTTCTAAATGTTATTCTCATCTCTGATCTCAACAACGATCATTTTATTCTTCATAATTATATCTGTCAACTTTGTCTCTGGTAAGTCACAACCACTATCACTACTAACAGATTTATGCAAAATTCGATTACCTGAATTGAGTAATATTTTTGAAGTCTGAAAGATAGATCCATCATAATACGTCTGAGAACATTTACCAAAAAGATAATCACAGTTATCAGTCATTTTCAGGATATACACGTCTAAATCGGTGCTATTCGTGCATGTCACCATTATATGAAGAGTTATTCAAGGACGGTATCATGTCAAGGTATAATTAATATGATACACTAATGAATAAATGTATCTCTTCGAGTTACAATAACCATAGAGTTACATTCGAATTTTAAATTCAAAAGATCCGGTAATAAATCTTATCGTACTCCTACATTTAGAATATTTTGAAAGGATGTGAATTTTCAGCACACCTGTTATAACACTAAATTTGTATCTTTGTCTTTAATTAGAAATGATTTTAATTACTGGAGCTAAAAATGAATAAGCATTTGCAGGTACTTTTATGAACCGAGGAATTTTACATCACAGTGCAATGAGCCAATGGAACCATTTAATATGGGTCTAGTGCCTTGCAGATCAATCTGTCTCACACTCACTCAGGATTTTATCGTTATGGGCAAGTTCTTCCAATGATCTGTGAGTCAAAATTTCAGAAGCAAAATTTAAAAACTCAACCAGAAAATCATGATCTTTAGAGTGCACAATTGGAGTCCAGTTCTTGGCCATTTTCTTGATCATTTTACAATATTAATTACATAACATTTGGTATAGTTTCATTTCAGGACGTAACACAGGCAAAAAGTTAACAATACGTGGCTGTGCGGTCTCCATAAGTCGTCATGGCTTTTTCAACACGACAATGGTTTTATTCGATAGGTCTGATTTCTAAAAAATTCCTGTTAATGAATTTGACTTTAAAAAAGAGAAAAAAGCGATATTTTCCCAAGTTTGAATATTTTATAATCAATCTCTTTCAAACAATTTAAACATAGAATTTTCCATTTCTTAATTTCAAAGTAGAGCGCTATTGTTACAGGTACGATATGTGCCGTGATGTTAAAGCGTCAGATCTTTTTCGTTATGAATCGGATTCACAAACAGTTCGAGTATGTTCATGCCTTGGTGATCGTTGTAACGTCAGTACAAATTATTGCAAAGCAACTCGTCAACTCGTCGTCGCTACCGTCATTTTTGTGTCTTTTGTCCCGAAATTGTTTTAGGATTCGTTTCTCACACATATATATTCCGATTTTTCTTTGAATTTCTTGAATCAAAAGAGAAGCATATAAATATACTGCAAAAAACTAATGGACAGATAGACCTCACAATAAAAACGTTAGGAATTAATTCCTGAAATAACTCAAGCTGGTAAAGGAAATTTTTGTAGTTAAAGTAGCATTTCATTTATTATTCGAAAAAAAAAAAACTACCAGGAGCTCCTCAAAATTAAGTCTTTAAAACAACATCGATAACTTGAACATCAACGATTGGATATTGACCTTTTTGGCATATTCAAGAAAATATATTTGGGGTGTTTGTCCACAAAATCTAATACTGATCGATGTTTAAGAGGCGTCATCAAGGACTTTTATTGAACTGCAAATTTAGCAAGAAGTCGGTAAGGAGAAACTGTTTACACATGAAAGAATTCGAAATTAAGGTAATGAATTGTTTTTATTTCCCTCGCAGCTATTACACGTTCAAACAACAATTAAAAGCAAATAAGTCATTAAATAAATTACACATATCATAACCAGAAGGAACCACAATATCTTCCAATAAGAATCCGAAAAAAGAAAAAACTGAATGGAGTAGAACATGATATCTGATAATATCGAATAGCCTGCCTTTAAACTAATGAAACTAAGCATTAACAAAGGAGATGAAAGCCCATGAATCAAAAAAAGAAAAAATGCAGGTAAGTTTCGGTTGTTACGTCCATGATTACGATCACATCAAATGTTTGATATTTATGGCAAACGTGATACATTTAAATTTTGCATTTCCTGGATCGCTTAAACAAAATAAACTTTGGATTGAAAAGTATCAGCAGGATAAAATCTACATTTAAAAATATCAAAATTAGTAGACTTAATTCGGTAAACTCTAATTCTGGCTAAGTTTACTGTGTCAGTGATAGACTAACTACAAACTGGCAATTATAAGAAGTGAACAAAACAGTAAATATTTAATGTCTACAACCTAGAAAGAAACCTTTCCAATAGGTAAATGACCGATATCGCCAAGGGATCTCACAGACACGAAACCATCTGGATATATAACTAGCCAAGTTATCGAACAATGACCAACTGACATTCGCAGCCAACCTTCGGGAGGAAACTGCAGCGCCCTTTAATATATCAAAATTCTCTTCATGAGATTAAGATCAATTTGAATTCATTAATATGGGTTTTAATAACGTCATCTTCATTCTTAGAATTATTATTTAGATATATTAAATAACTGACGCTGATCATTTTTCTATTTAAAACTGCCAAAATACTACTATATTTCTAAAAAAATAAAATCTGGAAGTATTCTCTCTTTTATATCCGTGTGCTCTATAAATTTAATGTCCAAAAACTAATAAGATTTAGCAAACGAAAAGTAATTACAGCATAATCAACATCTGATACTTAAGAAAAAATAGAAAAGATAAGTTGACAAACCTGCAAACAAAATACCGTATTACATTCCCATGGCACACAATCAATTCCCAGCTATCGTCTTTTTGTTTCCAGCTAGCACGATGTATGTACTTCCGGAAAGCTGCCTCAATGCGCGACCCCTCCGTTGCAAAATTCAAACAAAAAAAATGGTTAACAAAAAATTGATTGATGAAATAATCAAATATTTGATGGCCTATTAATGTGTTTTATTGCTTTTATTTCAGGAGCTGTCATTAGTTCTGTACTAATTTGTAAACTTGTATCAACTAGGAGAATATGAAAACCTAAGATTAAGAAACGGATATGTTCTCAACTCTCCATTGATATCCAATTACTTTCCTCTGACTTCACCCAATTTTTTTAAAGTAGTATAAGTAATTACTTTTTGCTTAGGATGCCAATGTTTGCTAGGTGGTTCGGGTGGGAAAGGTGCTCCTTCCTCCAATAATGGATCGCTTTTTGCTGAAGTTGGTGATAACTCATCTAGGATTAATTTAGCCGTTTCTTCCGCTCTCGTCATTGTCGACATAATCACACTATTGAACTTTAAACCACTATTGGCTAAACGTTGACCCACAAACTTCGCTTGCTCTCGCCCTATAATTTAAAAAAAAAATAAATGTAAAAAATTTTGAAACAGACAAACATTTGAAAACAAAATATCGTTTCCATTTTTCCAGTTACAAAATCTAATAAATCAGTATGCAATATAAGAAATAACAGAAAACATTACCTAAAGGCGTCAAGCTGAGATAATTTTTGTCTTTGTGATCCGTGAAATACTGTCCATGTCTTATGAGAATAATATTTCGTTTCGAGATTGGTGTTACTTGATTCAACATCTTTTGGCGGCTGGCAGGATCAGCTTCTTCATATTCTGTGGGATTCACCATATATTTCGGTTCCCGGCTGCGAAGAAATAAGGATGCTAAGGATTAATAAATGGAACAAATCTTTCAACAAAATATATTTGCAAAAAAATGCAATTTTCAAGAACTGTAAATAACATAAATTTTAAGCTGAAATTCAGAAAACTCAAACAATATGAAGAAAAGTCTGTTAATGAAGATCAAAAGCATACTAAAAGGCCAAAAGTAGGCAGTATTCTTACTGAACAAAGCAAAAATATCAAGCTCTCATGTCTTTAACAAAAACTTGTCAATTAAAAATTTAAAAAAAAATATCTTATTTAAAAGTTTGACATTAAATTCAAAAATCGCATGTTAAAAAAATTAAAAATGAAAAATCTTGAGAGAATGAACTTACTAATCCCAGTTATAGTCCCATTTACTTTGTCGAAAAGAATGTACGTAAGGAAATGAGGCGGATGTACTGATTTCCGCGCATTCTGCAGTATTCAGGAGAAGCATGCTTCTCAATGCATCATTTCTCGAACCAAACGGCCATTTTTCTAATCGGGAATAGTATACACCTCCGGCTATCACCGACAAAGCAGCCGCGGACAATCGAGATAGCGAAGGCATTTTGTTGTCTTAAATATGGCTGAAAATTACTATCTGTCATTTATTCTTGAAGCTGCAAGAAAAGACGCCATAAAACTCGAGAAATCCCGGTCTCACATTTTCCTAGTGCATCATTTCAAATTATCTTAAAAATATTTTCATTGCGTTGGAATACAATCGATGAACAGGTTCAAATGCATTTTCAAATTAAAAACACAGCTCCTCATCCATTAATAAAAAACTTTCAAGACTAAAATCATTGGACTGACATCAGTGGAGATGAAATTACTTGGTGTAAGACTAGTCAAATTATTCACGTATTGCGGTAAAAATAGTAAAACAATTTATTAGAAAATACAACAAGCAAAAAAACATATAATAAAATAATGGACTGATTTATACGACCTTCGTATAGCAACTAAAAGAGTTGAAGTAGTCGTGGGAAGTGAAATAATTATCTGAGAACGGAGCAAGTGAGTTAAATTGAAGTGGCAGAGCATGAGTCTGGAATCGAAATGGGTAGCATGAGTCGGGAATCGAAACGGGTAGCATGAGTCGGGAATCGAAA